TTCACTGAATGTCTAATATGTCATTGATTATAACACATATTCTTGTGCCATCTTCTGACTCTCACTCCCTTCAAAGTTGTGACAACACTGTGAGATAAGCTTGTCCTCTTGGGTCTCTCTTTATCCCTTCAAAATAAAAATATATCTGAAGTTGGGCACTGTGGCCCATGCCTGTAATCCCAGCACTTGGGGGAGGCTAAGGCAGGAGGATTCCTGCAGGTTCATGGCCAACCTGGGCTACAAAATGAGTTCAAGACCAGCCTAAACTGCATAGCAAGAGCCTGTCTCAAAAAGACAAAAGAAAGTATCTGTTACAAGCTTATTCCTACGAGATTGGATGATATTTTTGTATCCCTTTCCAGGTAGGACTTGTGCATTTCAACAAGTTGTCTGTTCACAGACAACTAAACTAATAGTGGGATTTTTAGGAAACAGCCAGGCTCTTGAGGACAATATTACTGGGCACCCAACCCATGGAGGAAGTACTGTTGTCCCTGCCTGACCTTCACACTCCCTCTGGGGAGCATGCACCAAAATTGGCGAGCTTATTCCTAAGTTTCATACAGTATATTTAATGACATGCATTCTTCATTTACTCAACTGAAGAATGTAAATATGTGTTCTTAGCACAGCTAATAAAAAATCTTTAGAAGTATTTTTTTCTTAGTCTGTAACACTCAGATACAGGATCTGCTTTCTCTCCACAAACAACTGTGTTCAGTTAAACAGGCCAACAAGAAAAGTTTAGAGAAAACTGTGTTCTGTTCACTGACACCTCTTAATAAGTCTTCTTGTGGAAAAGAGAGATATGGTCTTGGCTGGGGCTCTCCCAAGGACACAGCAAAGGTAGGGCAACATAAAATGAAAAAATGAAGCAGCGCAAAAAGAAATGACTAGAAAAATGAACCAAAAAGCTGGAATCTGGTATCTGCTTTGCTAGCACCTAGATTTATGACATGAGGAAGCTGTTCAACTTTTCTGGACTCAATTTCTTTATCTGCAAAATGTTGGATTTTAGGAATATAATGGCTTAGAAAATCTTTATAGCTTTTTAATGTTAGGTTTATTTTACCACGAAAAGATACATAACATTTTTAGTATGCTGCAAAATGTTTGACAATATAAACATTTTATAGTAAGTGGATCTCAGGGGCAGAGCTATTTGTTGACCAACAACACAGTAAATATTTCCATTATAGTCCATTTTAAAACTATTAATAGTCTACTAGAAAATTCCTGGAAGTCTACCCATCAGCATTCAAAAACCAGTAAGAACAAGTCTCAGCACATCACTAAGTAGAATTCCATTTATTCAATAATTCAACAAATAGTCGCCGAACATTTTCTGTGTGCAAAAAAACGCAAATTAAATGGAATGTATAACAGTGTAAATGGCCTGATTTTTGTCCAGCAGGGGTTTAGACTCTAATAAACAGAAAATAAATACATATAACTATAATACTAAAGGCAGCATGACAAATAATATAAAGATGGCATAAAGCAAATAGCATAAAAGTTTGGGGAATAAAAAGAATATTTCCTAGAGCTGGAGGTGTGGCTCAGTGGCACAAGTGCCAGCCTGGGCTCTCTAGTGAGTTCAAGGCCAGCCTGAACTACATAACAAGATCCTGTCTCCCATAGAAAATAATAACAATTGTCATAGAAACACTCCCTCATCAGGATCCACCTTTTCATGTTATATGTTCAGGTGAACTACAAGTTATACATTAAAATTCATAAAAATATAGACAGAAGTAAGAATAGAAATGAAATTTTCCAAATCTGGTATGACCAGATTTATGGTGTCTGTATTTTGAATAAAAATTGTCCTTTTTATAAAAATATAAATCATTAAGAAACTCTTTGAGAAGAACATAAGACTCTTTTGCTTTTGCTTTATTGTTCAGCTCCAACTTAATTATCAATTTAACAATGAAAACAGAATTTTCCTGGAACATATAGAATTTCCTGTCATTTTGAAAAGAGAATTGCAGAAACCTTTAATGACAAATATTTCCCTCACAATACCAATCAGTAAATCTCTGGAAACATTTATTTGGTGCCCATTAGAAATGGAGAACATTAAAAACAAGAATGTGTGGGAAATTTCAGAGGCAAAGATATAGTTGGTACTTTTAAAGTTGTTATAGCTTAATAGGGGAGGCTGACTCATCCCCTAATAAGTATGCCGAGGCATGGTTGCCATTGACAAGGATTTGGCGTGCAGCCACTCTTTTTTGAACGTTATTCTCTGCAACTTAGCTTCTGGGGAAAACAGAAGAGATGGGAGGCCCAGAGATAAAATTGTAGCTAAGGTCACATAACCGTTAATAGTAAAAAGGAGACCTTAAACCTAGATTCCCTAATTCTGTGTATAAGACAGTCTCATGACATTAACCTGAGGAAAATACCTTATTGAGTTTCTCAAATATCTAGGATATTCATTTAATTCACAACAAAAAGCAAATAAATAAAATCATCCAGTAAGAGTGATTAGAACTCAGAAAATAACATTTTCTAGCATTCCACCTTACCTCTTTCAGTTTGGAGGACAGCAGCACCTACTAGTCTGGAGTTTCAAACTAAATGTGAAACATATTTCCCAGAAAATGGCTACATAATTAGGACTGCATTGTTCTAAGACATCTGAAGCTGTTAGTTTCCAGTATTTTTCCTAAATTTCTCTGTAAAGAACTTTCATGTGTCATTTTATATCATACATCTGGATGAATAAAAAGTTCTTCTCTCTCTCTCTCTCTCTCTCTCTCTCTCTCTCTCTCTCTCTCTCTCTCACTAATACTCATACATACATTTTAAAGCCATAAGGCATAAGGTTGGGGGAACTACCTGCTCGGGCCCCCCCTTCTGTCCCTCTCTCGGGACAGGAGCTTTCTTTCTCTCAATAAATATATTCTGCTCATAAAAAAATAAAATAAAATAGAAATAAATAAAGTCATAAGGTTAAAGCGTGGCATGGTGGTACACTCCTGTAGTCCAAACACTCTGGGAAGCTGAGGCAGGAGTATTGAAAGTTTGAGCACAGCTTGAGCAACTTAAAACATTGAACCCTGGATTCCCTCACTAGTAGCTTCAAAAAAAAAGCCATATGGCTAAAAAAAAAATTTGTGTGTTGGGGCTGGTGAGATGGCTCAGTGGTCTAAAGCACCTAGTTAGAACTAATTTAGCAAACACAGGGACCACGGTTCAATCCCCCAGCACCACATGCCAGCCAGCCCTGCCCCCTGGTGGGCTGAGCTGGCCACAC